TTTCAGAGTCACAGCTAGTTCTCAGTTCTTTGGCCTCCACCTTTCACTGGCTCTCATGGTTTTCCTCTATAGCTTCCTAGCTTCCTAGCCCGCTTCAGACCTGCAGAGGGCTTCTCTCAGGTCTTCCATGGCTCTCTCCTACCTGAGGTCTCCTGGTATATTATCTGGTAAAGTCACCACTTAACCTCACTGAGAACACATGCTCATCTAGCAAACCAGGAATTTTCCCTCTTGTTCCCAGTCAGCTGTGCCGTTTTTAGATGGCAAAGCTATGAATTTCTGCTGCCAACCCCATATCAAGTCAGTGCCCTATGGTACCAAAGCTACTGTTTATAGTCAGCCCTACTGGTAAAACTAACACCCCTAATTATGGAACTGGTACTATGGGAACAACCCATCACAAAAGGGCCACAGACTCCTGCTGTTACTACTCAAAGCTCTCCTAGTTTTTCAAGAGTAAGTATACGCTCTTAACTTTTCGTTTGCCTGTGGTTGATATAGAGTTCCCAGAAATGGTGATTTTGAATATTTCATTGAGTTTTAACACTTTGAGTCTAACCTCTTTTTGTGGACATAATCAGAAGCACTTCTATCTCTTTTTATTTTTTAAATTTCTTATACTTTTTTAGATATTGTTTTTTTAATTTCATCTACAGAATATATTTTAATATTGTTCTTAATAACCATCTTTTACTTGTTTTGCATTAATAGTACTAAGAGCTGGGTTCATGGCTACATCTTCCCTTGTGATTAGGTATTGCCACATCAATAAACTTTCGCCTGAAATGATTCGGGCAGAAGTAATGTGTGGGGGTCCTGGGTTATGCTTTCATAGGCACAGGGCATGCCCGCCATGTCTGTTTTTCCTTTTCTTTTTCCTGTTGACTTGGCTGTCATCAAGATGGGATCATTTACATAAGGACAACCCCTTAAGGATGGCAAAGTAAAAGGACAGAGGGGATCCAGACACCTGTTCTCATAGCCAGTGTTTCAGCCTTTCATGGAAGAGAGGCATACACATATTCATTTTATGTTCAAAATAATCCTGAGCAGTAGATAATCCTCCCCTTACTATAGATGAGGAAGGATTCAGAGAGTCTAGTCAAAATTTGACTATAATCATACAATTACCAAAGTGCCTAAGCCAAGATTAAAACTCATGACTCCCAAACAAATGGATGTAGTCACAATATTATACTATCCTTCCTTAAAAGAGAGCCTGGATGTGCAAAGATCCTGCTTGGCAATTTTGATAAATGAGTATGTGACCGTTTTCTCAGAATTCCCTTTTAGCAAACAGAAGGGTGAATTCAGGTTACCTCATGGGGAAGATTTCATAGTATTATTTTTCCAAGTAGTGATGAACCATCAAAGCCTTCAGGTCTATGAACATTCTCATTTCAAGGTCAAATAGACACTCTACATCTATACCGTGAAGTTGGACAAGACTATGGTCAGAGATGGTCAGAATAAGCAATCGACTTTACATGTTTGAAAGAGCCGATTTGTGTATTTGTGTACATGAATGTTTGTTGCTAAGGAAATTTTCAAGTAATGCAAATTATTTCCTATACCCTTTGACAGGGGATGGAAACATTTTTCTCCCAGTTGTCCCAAAAGTATTTCCCTGTCTTAGAAAATAGTCTGAAGGTCAGTTTTGATTGCTTTAACTCTGAAATCTGTTGTGTTCCTGATAGCATGCAGAGTTTTAGATGTAGTTAGTAATATACACTAAAAATATTCAATTGCCATAGATTACAAGGCTCTCTGAGTGTGTTATAAATGAGACAGTTTGTGAATCTTTGTGGTTCCAAGGACAACAGGATGTAGAGGCCTAAATTAAAAATCACTGACAGATCAAATGCACTGTCAGTGTTCAAACAATCCAAATGACCATATCAAATATGACAAATTCCTGAATTCAAAAATATAAGATACTTTTTGAAAATCATTCTCTTTTCCTGGACCACTGTGTCATTTTGAGATCAGTACTACTCTCTTCCTATGTCTAACTAGGCAGATGGACAGTTAGAGTTTTAATATAACAGTGCAAATTCCAAAGAAAGAAAAACAAGATAAAAGGAAAGAGTGAGAGTGTATCTAGTTTGAATATTTTTTCTTTAAAAATATAACATCAATATTATCTCCCTTAGGATTAGAGACATTGTCTTTAAGAAGCCTATGCATAATATATGGAGTTTCGTATATTTCAAATTCAGTGCTCTTGAAATACTTTCTTAAAATGTTATTATTGGATTATACCATGTCTTTAAAGTGGAGTGTATCCCTCATGAATACTGATGAATTAGTAATAGCTCTTAGTTGAAAGTCTTTGCCTGGTATGCAGGATAACTTCACTTTACTACTCCATACTTCACTCCCTCCCTACTCTATTCCACCAAGATTCTGTATGGTCTGTATCAGTAGGCTCCCTTACCCTCTGACTTCTGATTGGCTTTGGCTGCTCATAGGAGCCTGCCAGTCAGCTGGAGGGCTAGCAGAGAGAGAAATTGGAATATTTAATCCTCAGCTTCTTGTCTCAGTTCAGGAGCAGTTTTGAATTAGTCTTAAGCTGGTTGTATCCTACCACGAGTAGCCACAGAACCTTTCAAGTGATGCTCTTCATACAGCCCTTTCTGTTCCTGAGTACTATGCCCCATTAAGCTAGGGATTGTGTGGGGCACCTGACTGATTCAGTTGGTTAAGTGTCCTACTTTTGGCTCAGGTCATTATCTCATGGTTTGTGGGTGTGAGCCCTGTGTTGGGCTTTGTGCCGACACCTCAGAGCCTGGAGCCTGCTTTGCATTCTGTGTCTTCCTCTCTCTGCTCCTCCCCCACATGCATTCTGTCACTCTCTCTTTCAAAAATAAACATTAAAAAATACTAAAAACCTAGGGATTGTGTGTCAGGAAAAAAAGCTAACATAATGGGTCTGACTGCTTATCTGTAGAAAAACCTGATTACAAAGTTAACTTTTGTCTGGGATCTGGGGGTTCTCTCCATCCCCAGAACAGTTAGAATGGCTCACTGTCTCTTAAATTTTGTCTCTTAAATTCACTATCTCTTAAATTCTGTCTGACCCAATGGTTTATGCTTAACCCTGTTGTCCTTCTGGAAATCTAGAATTTGGGGATTATTCATGTTGACAGAGGCTGTCTACATAAACAGCCCCCAGTACAAACCCTAGGCACTGAGTTTCTAATGAGCTTTCCTAGTTGGCAACATTTCACATGTTTTCACAAAACATTAACATTGCTGGGGGGATTAGGCGTGTCCTGTGTGACTGGAATCTTGTGGTTGGTTCCCTTGGACTTACCCATGTGCCTTTCCCTTTGTTGAGTATATTCTATCCTTTAGCTGTAGTAAATCTTAGCCACAGGTAGGACTTTATGATAAGTCTGGTGAGTCCTACTAGTGAGTCATTGAACCTGGGGGTTGTCCTGAGGACCTCTAACATGGATAGTAAAGGAGCTCTACTGTTATCACATGATTTTTTGAAATTTCTTGACAAAAATATTAATGGCTTTAAGATAACACAGCAATCTGTACCTTTGATATCCTATTTAATGAAAAAGTCTGATTCAGATGTGCTTTTTTAAATGGATGGAGGATAATGCATTTTGTTAAGCCAGAAGGGGATAAATAAGCTGTTAGCTGATTGTCCTTAAAAAATAGTTAGGGGGTGCCTGGGTGGCTCTGTCAGTTAAGTGTCGAAATTCAGCTCAGGTCATGATCTCATGGTTCGTGGGTTTGAGCCCTGCTTTGGGTTCTGTGCTGACAGCTCAGAGCCTGGAGCCTGTTTCAGATTCTGTGTCTCCCTCTCTCTCTGCCCTTCCCCTGCTCGTGCTCTGTCTCTCTCTGTCTCAAAATAAATAAACTATAAAAAATTAAAAAAATAATTAGATATTCTCTTTTTCCTTTACCTTTATATATTCTGGGAGTGGGGAGACATTGAAAAAAATAAGGAGACTAAGGAAAATATAGAATGATAGGAGACAGTGTTTTCATAGTGTTTACTTACATTATATAAAATATCACTAAATGTACACTATAGTATATACTTACATTATATACACTATAGAATGTATATTTACATCATATACATTATAGAATGTATGCTTACATCATATACATTATAGAATGTATGCTTACATCATATACACTATAGAATGTATACTTACATCATATACACTATAGAATGTATACTTACATTATATATTACTAAATATACACTAAAGTATAGTGTATAATTACATTATATGAAATATCATAAGATGAACGCTCTTATGTGCCTGATGGAAGCAATCATATTACCTGTAACAATCAATGCACCTCTAACAGGAGTGGGTATATTCACACAATGCATTCAAATTGTTTCTTGCTAATATTTAGACTATTTAACATCCATGTCATACATAGGTATTTGCATTACCAGCTATTATTCTTTCTTTTAGATTTTGCTCTGTGAGGCAGGATGAGGCATATGTGTTTAGGGGAATGGAAAAATTCCCTTGAAAAAGCTAAAAATTATGCCGCTTAAATTCCAAGTTTCAGCATAAATTATTTATGTCAACTTTCAAATTAAGTGGAAAATAAATGTTATGCATGCTTGGATAGTTTCTCAAAAAAGAAAGAGAGAGAGAAGGGAGGGAGGGAGGAGGGAAGGAGGAAGGAAATCAGGAAAGAGGGAAGGAAGGAAGGAAGTACGGATGGACAGACAGACAGAAATGCTTAATATAAATTTTGTGGTTCGCCCCACCCCAACTATGTTTGTCAGCTGCATTGACCTACAAAATTGTTTTATGCCCATAGATAAAAAGCTTTGTTTTAGAGAACTCATGATGTGTACTCTCTGTTTATTAATGTCTTGGTAAACCACATGTCTTCTTGATAAAGTAATCCTGAATCAGAAAGACCTTTTTGTTAGATATCTTACTTCAGTTTACTTGTGTGCTTATTGATTGCCTTTGCTAATAAATTCTCTCTTCATTGTAATTTAGCTCCATCTCAACAACCTCCACCCAGAGGACAAGTTCAAAGTTCTTCTGCTATCAATCTCTCCTGGAGTCCACCTGATTCTCCAAATGCCCACTGGCTTACTTACAGTTTATTCAGGGATAGTTCTGAAGTCTACACAACTGAAGATCAATACCCATACAGTAAGTTTAAAGGTTTGATGATAGAAAGATATAATATTCTGAGAATTGATATATTAGTTAAGATCTTTGACACTGAGGATAATTGTTGTTGTGGTTTCCTGTGTCTAGCAGAGAATGTTTCAAGCAGAGACAGAATTACAAATCTCAGAAGCAGTCTCCTTGTAATCAAAACAATGCAATAAAAATGAGATGCTTCTTATCTGATAAGCCTTTAATGCTTATCAAATTCTCAAAGATGAAAAAAAATTACTCTATCCAGCATTGATAAGGATATGGAGTAGTTAGAACTTACATAAACTGCTGGAATATCTGTGTAAGTTCATTGGCACAATTTTTCATGTAGGATAAATGATTAAAATGTATGAAAAACATCCTCTTATATACCATTTGACTCAGCAAATTTACTTTAGGAAATTTATCTTAAATTAATAGTCATAAACAGATACAAAGTATGTTAAAACATACACTACTTGTAAGGAAAATATTGGAAATACTCAGGTATTCAAAAAACTTTCTATAAATTGTGATAGATGGTATAGTAGAATCCTGGTACCTTGTTAAGTGAATTTTAGGACGTGATTGCCTATAAAATGATACCTTAGTTTACATGTTAATTAATGGAAGATGTCTGTGACGCATTGTGTGATGTAATAAAAGATATTATATATAATCTATGATTTATATTTTCATTAAAAATGTGTAGAAATACTGGAAGACTACAACAAACTGATCTATAGTGTTCTCTGGGCATAGTATTACAGAAAATTTATTAAATATTTCTATTATGTGGGTTCAGCTTTTAAAATTCTCAGGTTAGGGGCACCTGGGTGGCTCAGTCGGTTAAGCGTCCAACTTCGGCTCAGGTCATGATCTCATGGTTCGTGGGTTCAAGCCCCGCATCGGGCTCTGTGCTGACAGCTAGCTCAGAGCCTGAAGCCTGTCTTCGGATTCTGTGTCTCCCTCTCTCTCTGACGCCCTCTGCTCACGCTGTCTCTATCTCTCTCAAAAGTAAATAAAACATTTAAAAATTTTTTAAAAATAAAATAAAAAAATAAAATTCTCAGGTAAAAACTAGACTTGAAAAAAGTGGAATCAGAGTACGAATGTTCATGCAAGCACTGTAGTTTTATGCATATGCTGCCATTTTCATAGAGATAGAATATAACATGAACTTAAATTGAAAAAGGCAGAATGTGAAGAAGCCATGAGGACTATCTTCGCATCTGTAATTTTTATGAGGATTTCAAAGGAGCTTATAGAAATCAAACTATTGGGACACATTGTTTTTTTAAAAAGATTTACTCAAAATGTTTTTACTTTAATTATTTTTAATTTTATTTATTTTTTGAGAGAGAGAGAGAAAGAGAGCAAGCAAGCAAGAGTGAGCATGAGCCAGAGGAGGGTCAGAGAGAGAAGGGCATAGAAGATCCAAAGTGGGCTCTGCACTGTCAGGCTGACAGCAGCAAGCCTGATGTGGAACTCAAACCCATGAACCGTGATATTGTGCCCTGAGCCAAAGTCGGACACTCAACCAACCTAGCCACCTAGGCGCCCCTATGCAGATGCTTTAGATCCAGTTTCCCTAAAGCCAGAATGAACAAATAGAAATTTTTACATCCTTCAGCTCTGTCTTCTCTCATATTTTCCTCTAGTCATGTATAGTTACGAGCTAGTTTGAGAAACTAGTTAAAAAAGCCATTGGAACAGTGATTCTAATTCGTTCCCATTTTGTTCTCTTTGTTTATTGTCCAATTTTCCAAATTCTAGTTTAACTTGCTTACTTCATTAGACAAGTATGTAAAGCTCTGTAGGTGCCCTGAAGTTCCATAATCTTCCTTAAAATAGTTAGGAGGCTGCCTTGTTTTAACATAGTGATTGGCTCTAAAACTTCTGTACAGCATACACTACAGTAGGTCACATTTTGTACTTAATTCTGCCTGACAGACACCTACATGCCTGTGTCCAGCACTTTCTATTAATGCTAAATGTTTCTCCAGTACTCCAGCTCTTCTTTGAAGTTAATGGAAACTCTGAACTTCATGGTGCAGATTGCAAAGGGAAATGAACATCTGTCTACATCTGCCATGTTGGCAAAGCATCCCAAAAACCTGCTACTAGAATGTTTATTTTCTTCCAAATATCAGCATGATCCAGGTGTCCTGAAACTTAAACTTTTGTGATAGGGGAAGAGAGAGTTATAAAAATATTGAAAGTAATTTTGAAGATGACAGTCCTAGGGGTTGGATTATTTCTGAAAATTGTGAATTAGGATCACCCTATTTTCCATATAGCTTAATTTCAACAATAGACTTCAACTTCAATTACACCCTTCAATCCATTGGCATGTTTTCTATAGCAACATACTGTGATCTGTTTTATAGACCATTACATGATCGTATAACACTCTGGCTCTTTTTCATGATTGTACTAATATAGAATCCAAATAACAGTTTCTTACATAATAAATGTGTACTCATTCACTAATCAGACATTTATATAATCCTATTAAATGAGGTATTATTTCCTAAAACCTTATTTTTCATTAAAAAAATGCCACTTCTGGCATTTCTTGACAATCACTATAATTAATGATGTGAAAATTATCTGCATGATGGCATTTGAACAGTAAGAACAATTGGTTAACGCTGTCAGAACTTGTATCGTTCTAATAATATCCTCATGTTTATTACTCTATTTCCAGTGTGTGGATAGCATGTGCAATATGAAAAGGAAACAGTACTTATATTCAGTCGGATGAACACAAATCTTTGGGTTAAATAAAGGCATTTGGAATTATAGGTGGAGAATCATTGAACTTTTCAAAGAAAATTAATAGTGTTGCCTTCTGAGAAAGTTTGATCATTTGGTTGAGACCATTATAGAATTCCTTGTTAGAATAAAAACTTTTCCTAGTTTCTTGATGTACTATGGGATTCTCTAGGACAGTTATTTCCAACCTAAGATCATGACACACTGATGTATTATTATCTTTAAAGGTTGCAAAGTATTTGTTATTAGTAATAGCACACTAATTGATTGTAGAATGATTTTAAAGTATCTGAATAATAAACTTTCCAAAAATAAGCAAAATTTACACCTTCACAAGCTTGTACATAACCAGCTTTCAAACCTAGAAGAGAAAGATCTAGAGGTCAGGTAAGCACATTGGGAATTGTACATAATCAGCACCTAATATTATCTCCCCTGTAGTGTCAATCTGGTTTGCTCATAGGCATTTTCCATGTCATAGGTGTGAAGAGAACAGCTATCATTGGAAACAATACTCATTTGATAGTGTTGCAGTTTTAGGGAGTGGCCAATAAATCATATTATGTTTTCCTAGTGGAATTTGGAACCTAAAGAAAACTAGACCTAGGCATCAGTAAGGTGGAAATGAAAAATAAAAATAATCTTCATTACTGATAAAAGACAGATTGGAGAGTAGACCTTCCCTCCCGCAGGAAGACAGATTAGGAGAGAGAAAAGTCAATGGGCTGATCTAAGCATGTTCTGTTTTCCCCCTTTCTTCCCAACTTCAAAGTTAAATCATTATTCATTTGGGATGCCATGAGTAGAGAAATAGCCCTTACATGTTTACTGTAAAATAAAAAAAATCCTTTCACAAAGAAACTAGATGAATACTTGCACAACTGACCATTGTTTGCATAGCCTAAAGAGGTTAATGTAGCTTGGAATTTCAGACAAGGATACATTTTATCCTTGATTTCATTTCTACTTTTCATATTGTTATCATTTGTTATTCCGTACTACATCGAGAGATCAATGTAACAAGTGGTAAGATGGTTCAGCTACTCTGAGAGAGACAAACAGAGAATATAGGGAGAGGATGAGGAAAAAAACCCAGAAGAGAGGATGACAAGTAACTGTTTGTATAAGGCTCTCAGTGTTCTTTCCTAGAAAAATATTTAGAAAAATTATTCCTTCTGTTACTCAATGAAATTTTATTCATTGCTAACTCCTGGAAATATAAAGATGGAAGGAACAGTTCTCATTATTGAGAAGGAGGATAAACAGTAAAACAAAATTATAGTATATATTAAATGTTTACTTAGAGTAGACTGGAGGGCTAAGAAAGTACTGTAACCATGACTATGGTATCAGAGATAGAGACTGAGAACCATGAAAAGTTTTGCAGTCAGGAGGTGACGTAGGAGCTAGGTTAGCCAGGTACTGTAGTAGAGAAAGAATGATTTTCATGGAAAAAACTATAGGTGACAAGGCATGAAGAGAAGTTGTTGGAGAAAATAAGGTTCATTCAGGAAACCTGAGCAGGTCCGGGTAGCTCTCACGGGTGGTGTGTTAGGACATACCCCAAGCCAGCGTATATACCAGCTGAGATGGTGCGTTAGTGCTGAGGGAAGACTTCTGAATGTTGCCCCAAATGTGCAGAAGTTTGTGGTAGGAGAACAGTTTTCCCAGCTCAGAGTTAAAGATAGAGATAATCCTTCTCCTAACTAAGGAGCGCAGCCTGCTTGAGATAAGTTCTTTAAACCTGTTATTTTATTGTTGTTATGACAGAATTAAAGAGAATTGTTTTTACCCTTTCAATTGCTTTTATTTAGTTAATACTGTATGTTTTTTATATAGTGTTTTTAATCAAATATATGCTGCCATCTTAATTCTGTCATTATTCAAATTACTAAATAGACAGCTCTTTTTTTTTTAAAAATTTATTTCTAGGAGAGAGAGAGAGAGAGAGACAGAGACAGAGAGACAGAGAGACAGAGACAGCATGAGCAGGGGAGGGTCAGAGAGAGAGGGAATCACAGACTGAAACAGGCTCCAGATTCTGAGCTGGCAGTCAGCACAGAGCCCGACGCGGGGCTCGAACCCACGAACCGCGAGATCATGACCCAAGCGAAAGTCAGACACTTAACCGACTAAGCCAGCCAGGCACTCCAATAGACTGCTCTTCTAAATTTTGATCTATTGGGATTATATTCCACTTCTCAAATGCTATAACCATCAAGTATGTGCTGAACTTTTTAAATATCATCAGGTTATATGTCTTCCAACTTCCAGTTTAAGCACATGCCAGTGTCTTGGAATATTTAGCATTGATATTTATTTTTGCTTTTTAGGTTTTGGCTTTTGACATGTTAAACAGAATATTTTCCATCATTTCCTAGCCTTCAATGATCTTTTTGTTTTCAAAAATTTTGAATATTTTAAACAGTCTCATGTGGGATATAGATAACTTTAATATATATTTATTGAATTTATTATTATGTGCCGAAATATATGTAATAGTACCTATAACATGGCTATGGTAGACAAATTCCCTAATCGTTCAACTATGATAACAATGCTATGCTATTAGCAACAAGTATGAAGTTCAGGTAATATATTAAAAACCAATGTAGTAGTTATTTAAATAATTGATAGAATAAAACTACTTAGCAGCTACTCTCAATATATAAGCCCATTCCTCCAGTCCAGGAAATCACTTTTTTTGGAAAGATATAGTAAATCAATCATCAAATTCTTCTAATGAAGGATATCACATTTTCTAAAGAAGCCTAGTAAATTTTATGCATCAACTTTACTGATTGATTTAACAAATATTTATTGAGATTCCACTGTGTACTACAAACAGTGGCAAGTAAGGAAGACGTGATCTCGGCTTCCCAGAGTGTTAAGTCTAGTGTCAAAAAGAGACAATTTATTAAACTATTAAAACGTGAGAAGGGCATATGCACATTATGTGTATGTACTAGCACATATTAGTACATATATGTATTAATACTATATATAACATATTTATAAAATTATAAATTTTTAAAAATTATAAAATATAGTTATATTCATAAACTATATCTTTATATTTATAAAGTTATAAAATATAAATTATACATATTATGTTTTAAATATATATAATTAACATACACACATACAGAGAAAGAGAGAGTAATGGGAGATTATGGCTAATTTTCTTTCTTTCATATCCAGGGAAACCTGAATTCTCATAATATTCTCCCACTTATTCAGGAGACCAGAATTAGATATCAATGAGAACACATTTTTAAAAATTTGATACTAAGCGTACTTGGAAAGAAATTCATCAGTGCATTTAGTTATTACTATTATTAGTGGCTCCAAAGAGGAAACTCATAATGTGCAATAATTTGTCTAAGTGATTTTGTCGTTGGGGTAGATCTTTTTCCTTTTTAAAAATTTTTAAATATTTATTTTTGAAAGAGAGAGACAGAGCATGAGCAGGGAGACACAGAATCCAAAGCAGGCTTCAGGCTCTGAGCTGTCAGCACAGAGCTGACATGGGGCTTGGACCTCAAACCGTGAGATCATGATCTGTGCCAAAGTCAGACACTTAACTGACTGAGTCACCCAGGCACCCCCAGGGTAGATCTTTTTCTTATAAAAGTGTCGTATCCATTGAAGAAATCTCAAAAGAAATTTTTTAAATATCACAATTCCAGCATTCTAGTATGATACCTAACTTCATTTTGGAAAGTTTCTGGAGTAGTGTGCACCCCAGTTTATTTTTCCTAATAATATTGACATATATGCACTATTGCATTCTGTATTTTTTCCCATGTTGCTACATGGCCTTCAACACTAAGTTTTTAAATAATTATGTGATATTAAAATTCTCTTAATGTAATAAATTAGTATTAAAATATTATAACCCGTTAAATTCCACTTTAATTTACTTCAACATTTCCTATTATAAATGACACATCAATACTTTTAGATGCTTCCTGAAGAAATGCTTACCAAGAATTTGAGTAGGGACCATGGTCTTATAAAATATGTTTTAGTGTATGCTTATATAAGCCCTCAGTCTATAGCCTCTCAGTTTCACACCTGCCCTTCATCGCCTCCTTCGCAACAATGGAGCTGGAACCCGTACACCTTTTTCCTTGGCTAGCTGTCATGTTGTAATTGTCACAGTTCTGCAGTACACTTTCTGTCCCCTGGAATGGGATTCCAGGCACACGTCTAATAATGTCCACTCCCTATCTTTTTAATCTTTTAAAAGCCCAGACATCTCTTATGTAAATTGTCCACTGATGATAACAAATGTCTGCAAAATTTAGCAATTCAAACCAACAATAAACATTTCTAATTTCGCAGTTTCTATGGGTCATAAATTCAGGAAGGTTCTAGTCATGCTATTGGCCAGGTGACAAATGTAGCCTGTGGTAGCAGTTGACCAGCCCTTGGTTTAGTGCAATATTGTTTAACAAGCAAACAGATTACATAGAAGAAAAACCTGTTATTTCTGTTTCAGAGAGCTGCCAGGAATTTCTCTTATATAAAAAAGACACCATATTATATAAAGAACAAGAGTTTAAACAGCCTTCTAAATATTCTTCATTACAAAAGGCACTTATACTGCACAATAAAAGTAATCAGTATTTGCTTTATTTCAGTTTTAAATATATGAACCATACTCTTGCTCAAAAGAGCAGATTGTATGGTTTATGTAATTAAGTTATGTAAATAGGAAAACAGTTGCAAATAGTTCCTTACTAATTTGTGAAATGTAACAATTTTCTTCTTTTTTTTCTTTTTAATTTCAGATATTCAGTACTTCTTAGACACTGACCTGTCACCATACACTTCGTATTCCTATTACATCGAGACTGCCAGTGTGCATGGCTCAACAGAGAGTGCACCTGTCATTTATAGGACGAAACCAGGGGTCCCAGAAGGACACTTGAACTTAAGTTATATCATTCCTATTGGCTCCGACTCCGTGACACTTACCTGGACTGCACCTTCAAATAATTCTGGTCCTATAGAAAAGTATATTTTGTCCTGTGCTCCTTTAGATGGCATTCAGCCATGTGTTCCTTATGAAGGTCATGAAACCTCAGCTAATATCTGGAATCTGGTTCCATTCACCAAGTACCATTTCTCTGTACAGGCTTGTACTAGTGGGGGCTGTTTACACAGCTCACCCCTCACAGTGATCACAGCCCAGGCACCTCCCCAAAGGCTGAGTCCACCAAAAGTGCGGAAGATCAGTTCTACAGAGCTCCATGTTGAATGGGCTCCCCCAAAGGAACCAAACGGTAGGAAGCCAAGGCTTAGATTTCCCTGTCTGGGGCAAAACATGAATGAGAATCTAGGCATTTGGAACTGTGCAGTAAGAGTCTGGCAATTATGTTTGTTTTTGTAACTATAAGATAGAATAATTGAGATGGTCTAAAGATATTAGACACTCTTTGGACTGGTTCGTAGGACAAGTATATTTCTTTAATCTAATAACAAATTCCATTCATTTAAATTGCCCCTTAAAAGGCTAATATTATCTTTGCTCTTAATGACATCTGTCACAACACAAATGATGTTTCTAATTTGAAACTCACTTATGAAATGCATTATATTTGACTGTGTCAGAGCTAGGGCACCCATAAGCAGTAAATTTTCTCTCTTAAGAGAAGGATATAAAAGAATACCAAAAATATGTATATAAGCTAGCTAACTCCATTAATTTAATTTTTTGTTTTCATACAATCGAACCCTTGGTTGTGTAGGCTAGATACAAATTCATAGATTTTTAATAATTAATATCATGTATGTACTATGGCAAAACCTTTTTTTCTTAGACTTTTAAAGTTACTTGATAAGAATAGGTAGAAATTAAGTTTAGAATTCTAATATTTATGTTAAGTGGCGCTTGTGTAAAACAGATAATAAAATTAAAATCCCTAATTTGAAAGTATACGAATTGGAGAGGTGCAGTAATCAAATTACACCCCTCCCCCCAAAAAAGCAATTCTTAGTAGAAATTATGGCCATTCACTCTGCAATGGATTGAATTTACCCATAATAAGTTATAGCTGTTTCATGTTTATGCATTCCCTTTTGGTTTGTTTTTACATGAATATGTCTTTTAGCGGTACTTCGTACATTCACCTATCCATCAGTTTGTCGTCTTTTATAAATCTCATCATCTGGATTATCAAAGGAGTGAACAGGTAATCTAGTAAGAAGAATAATGCAAAGCCAGACTCTTTAACTGAACTACACCCATCCCACCCCCCAAGGTGTCACTTTGTCTGATGAGTCTTCTTGGTTCCATGCTTCACTTTTCTAGGAGTGATAATAAGATATGAGCTATACATGAAAAGATTGAGATCTGATGGAGAGACCATGTCAGCAGAAAGTCGAGTTTTTCAGAGCAGTGGCTGGCTCAGTCCTCACCCATTTGGAGAATCAGCCAATGAAAATGCATTAAAACCTCCTCAGACAGCTGCCACCATCACTGCATTGGAGCCATATACCACGTATGAGTTTCGAGTCTTAGCTGTGAACATGGCTGGCAGTGTATCATCTGCCTGGACTTCAGAAAGAACGGGAGAATCAGGTGAAGAAAAATGCTTTGAGTTCTACATTTAAGACTCCCAAATAAAAATACTGCCCCAAATGAAAGTCAACAGCACTAAAGAACATTGCTAAAAGCAAGAATTATAAATTTATATAGGCCAAGGAAAAATTTAATATATTGGTTGGCTACATAAATAACTCAAGGTCATAAAGCACTTACAGTGAGTTTTAGGGGGAAAAAAGTAAATGGCTGAGCTATTACTTCAAGAGGGAAAAGGAACTGTCGTTATAGTCTTTGGGGAATGTTTGCCAAAAATAACAACCAGTTTCCATTCCTGAAGTAGGTTGGCCATATGTCCTATCTTGTTCCAAATTCAGCACACTTTATGTTCAGTGAAAGAGATAGCTGTTACCAAAGTCACAAATCCCATTTTGTTTTTATTTCTCTCTCCAAAGCCAATAGTGTAGGTACTAGATAGTACCTAACGATAGAATCTTGGATATCAAACTCTGTAATTTGCAACTGTAAGCATAAGTAGTTGGCAATATGGTAAGGAGAATGAAATGTTCAATTTTCTTAAGATATCTTCACCACAACAAATGAGAGATTTTTAACCCTCCCCCTTACTCTTTACATTAAAAACACTTCAAATATCATGAGCCTTTAACCACAAAATATACTTTTGTTATGTTTTGAATCTTTGGATATTAAAAAAAAAAAAAACCCAAGTCCTGATTGAAATTGGCTCTGTTAAGACTGTGGGAGGATAAGAGTAGCTTTAGGTTGATGTCCAAGGGAATCATTTCATGAATAAAATGTGCATTGTGCTTTAGCATCTCTTAATGACTAGCAGCCATCTTGGACAAATAATAGTGCCATGATAGCACAAGTGATGAGCCATGGCGTTCGGGAAGGGGGAAATCAAGGTCAGAAATGAAAAGTAATGGGTGAAACTGCAATACTGGACCGTCATAATCTTATGGGTCACTGGCTCCTGAACGTGCAATGAGGTCCTTTGATAATACACCTTTGGTTAGCACATTTAAAATCCATATTAAGATCTCAAGGATGGCAGGGGAAGAATGTATGTGTGTATGTACTCTGAACATTTCAATCAAGATTTATTGACAACTTTAAAATTTTCTTTGGGGTTATGTAGAACATTTTAGATTCACCCCTTTCTGAAGAGTAATATTGTCCAAGCTATATTGGTGTGGCACAGTGAAATACGTCTCTACATTAGAACTCCAGTGTGTCACTGCATTGTTCTGGATTTTGTGGACTAAGACTCAGTTTTGATGACTTCTTCTTTCAAATGCTTCATAAGACCTATGACTTTCTACCCCAAATAATCTACTAGTTATCTTCATGAACATAAGCAAATTCCTATGTGATTTTTATTTTATAAATGGAAAATACCTTTGTTGGTAAAAGAAAAATGGAGAATATCTTTGCAGAAAACATGAAAAAGGAGTAGCTTTTATAAATACCAGTATATCCTTTGATTTTTAGAAATCAGGGCATTAATGTAAGGAACAGGGGTATGTCAGAGACTAGAATACATGTATGAATTTACTCCGAAACCTGTAAGTAATGGCATTCATTGTTGGTTGCTGTAATTGTCATTGATAGTGCCGGCGTTCATGACCCCTCCCTCCGTCTTCCCACTTTCATCGTCGTCCCTGAATGTGTCCTGGGAGAAGCCAGCAGACAATGTAACAAGAGGAGAAGTTACGGGGTATAAGATCAACATGATTGCGGAACAATCATCTCACCAATCTGTTCCGGCAGCACAGTCACAGGTATTGTTATTTGAATAAAGTCCTTTCAAAATTGAATCGTATTCATTTTGATATTTTCTGAGTTTGCAGAATTCTGTGACTGAATTCTCTCTTCTAGATTCCTTAAGTGGAGCATTTGTTTCTTGATAGAATATCATGTGTACATGTGTATATTTATATCACTTATTTTTTCTAATATGAGCATGTATTAAAACAAAATAGATATAATGTTTAATAAAATCTGCTTTTTACATTGAACATATATCTTGTAAGAAGCCAACTTTCAGTAGCTATGTAACACCACATTATTTGGGCAGACAATAATGTATTTAACCAACCCACATTCCGTTGACATTTATACCATATACATTTTCTTTTGAAAATATAAGTAACATTGATAAGAATGTCTTATCTGTACATTTTGTATATTTCTGTTTCTGGAGAGAAAAGAATTCTCAAGAATGTATTATCACAGCTTATAGCAAAGGTTATTAACATGTTCAAGTTTTGGGATATACAGTGACATATTGTCTACTAGTAATTCATACTCTAGCTAGCAGTAATGAGAATAATAGTCATAGCTAACTTATAAAGGCTCTATTGGGTACATGGACTAAGTCAATTGATATGCATATAACAATCCTGGAGGGTGAGAGTCTCTTCTTTCCTTCGAGTTTATGATGTGGATAATGTACTCCATTGGTCTATTCTATCAGCATGAAGGTGGCCAATGACAGAGGTGGCTGATGTTAACTGGACAAGTCATTCTGTGTACTTGGCTGTTTAGCGCCTCTTCTGAGGAAGACGCTCTTTGTTAGCATTAACACAATATAAAGAGACTTTCACACATAACTATCTCTCCCATCATCCTATCCAAGTTCTTCTTTTGCATACTTCCTGGTTTCTGATCTTCTGGTCTTTCCTTTTTAATGCTCATGACTAATACATTCAGGTCACTGCCATATAGTTCTGGTGTATTCTACCTTTGGACCCTTCCTTTTCCGCATAACATTGAAGCCAAGGTGCGCTGCCTGAAGTTCTGATCATCAAGAGGACTTCTTACTGCTGATTTTTAAGACCATCCTTGAATGGAGCTATAGAGCAGCCATCACATATTTTTCACTTGCAACCACATACTAAGACAACCCATCTGTGATCCAAATCACATTTCTGCTCTCTTAGCACTTGAGGGATCTCCAAGAAGTGATAGGTCTGAGTTGAGATGGAGCTAAGAGTATACAAATGGTGGATGGCCTGGGGGTCCCAACAACCTGCTTGCCCAGCGTTGGCTCTTCTTATGCCCATTACCAGCTATCCCTTTCCATTTTATGATGAATTTGTTGGGCTTCCTCAGCTTCCTTAAACTTCCTTGGCTTCCTTAAGACATGGGATGTCTGACAGAACTCAACCCATGGGAGGTAACTCTAACTGCATGGGCACTTGATGTTCCATTGTTAGGTTCTCTGCCTTTACCAAGGCCCAATAGCATGCTAGGAGCTGTCTAGCAAATAGTGTTTAATTTCCATTGTGTAATATGCCCTTGCTCCAGATCCTGTGAGTCTACCTTGTAATTCTCTTTCTGAGAGCTTGCCGTAAATGTCTCACAGCATCTTTTCCCACTATAGTCACCTTTAGTACCACAGGCTCTGATAGACTTTATGTCCCAAGTTGCTTGGCTGCTTGCAAAACAACCTTGACCTTGACTAGCGGAAAAATCCATTTCAGCTCTAGGGCACACTCAGAGCTGGGAGCACCGCACATTACTAGTAACTTGATCAGAATAGTAGTCCTAGATGTGGAATATGCTCTCTTCAGAACCTAAGAAGGCCTGCCAGACATTCTGTTTCCTTCTTACTAGTGGTGAGTGCAAGATGCAATAAGTTGACCTTTATTTTGGAAGGGGTATCCTAGCATATCTCAGGCTTCTGGACCCCTAAACAATTTATTGATGTGGCAGACCCCTTGATTATCAAAAACTTGATATCTCATTGTTTGGAGCACATAATATGTACCAAGGCCTCAATATACCTGCCATTTCTTGATTCTCTGATTCTTTCCTTATTAATTTTTTTAATGTTTATTCAGTTTTTGAAAGAGATGGAGACAGAGTGTGAGTGGTGGAGGGGCAGAGAGAGAGACACACACACACACAGAATCTGAAGCAGGCTCCATGGTCTGAGCTGTCATCACAGAGCCTGATGCAGGGCTCAAACCCATGAACTGCAAGATCATGACTTGAGCCAAAGTCTGATGCTTAACCAGCTGAGCCACTGAGATGCCCCTCTCTGATTCCTTTCATAGGATGTTATTAATATGGAGAGCCAATACTACCAAGGAGGGTATCACAGTTTGCTTTGGATTGATGAATTTCAAATCTTCTTTGTCTTTCTTCAGTGCATTAATAGCACCCAGCAGAAGCCATGTAATTCCCCAGTCCTTATAATTATTACTTTCCTCAAAGTAGTCCATATAATTTCCAGTTCCACTAAACCAGTAAACTTTTCTTGCTCTGTAAGCCATCCCAGTTCACCACTAATGAGTTTAAGAGCTTCACTAGAATGTGCTAGGGGCCGCCATCTATAATGAGGTTCTCTTTGCCAGCTTGCTGGTTAGTGAGCCAGCTCCAAAATATAATTTTAGAGTCACCTTCCTGGGGCCACTCCTGCTCTCATCATCTTAGGCAAAGTTCTCTGGAAAACAGATTCTGGGGTAGAAGATTGAGTACAGAAGGTTTCCTGGGAGTGCTCTCTGACAGTACGAAAGAGGGATGTAAGAGATTTGGGGTTGAGCAGAATAGGAAGCTGACTTGCCATGCAATAATTAAAGGATCTAGGCTGATCCCGTGGGTAGTTCTGAAACTGAAAAGACCTTATGAGGTTATCCTAAAGAAGTCAAGGGGCCATATCTTTGTACCCCATTGTAGAGGTTTCGTGGGACCACATTAACAAATTGCCAGAAACTGAGTGATGTAAAACAACAGAAATTTTTTTTATTTTCTAAGTTATTTAATGTTTATTTATTTGAGAGAGAGAGAGACAGTGTGTGAGCAGGGGATGGGCAGAGAGAGAGAGGGACACACAGAATCAGAAGCAGGCTACAGGCTCTGCGCTGTCAGCACAGAGCCCAATGTGGCGCTCCAATCCACGAACTGTGAGATCATGACCTGAGCCAAAGTCAGATCCTTAACCAACTGAACCACCTAGGTGCCCTGAAATTTATTATTTTTTTAAAGGAAGGCCGCAATCTGAAGTCAAATTGTTGCTAGAGCCATTTTCCCTCCAGTGGCTCTAGGTGAGAATCCTTCCTTGCTTCCTCCAGGTTCTGGTAGTTTCTGGCATTCCTTGGTTTGTGGTCTCATAACTCCAATCTCAGCATGTCTTCACACAGTCGTCTTCTCTGTGTCACTACCCCCTTGTGCCTGTGTAGCCCTCTTCTTTCTCCTATAAATATATGACTTGTATTTAAAGCCCACTCTAAATGTACAATGATTTTATTAATTACATCTGCAAAGACCCTATTTGCAAGTAAGATAACTTTCTGAGGTACGAGGTGAACAAGAATTTTTGGGAGACCCTCTTCAACCCATTACGAATAGGTTTCCCAATATTTTTGAGCCTTTTCAGTAGATAGAACATGTATACAACACAAAACTAGAAGACGGAAAAAAGCCAATAAATAATTTATGATTTCTTATTACACATTTTCCTTAGTCTGGAAATAAGTACTCCCTACTTTGCAACTGTCTCAGGTGATAAAAACAGAGCTAGTCTTATACATATCTTTTAACTTAAACAACTTAGTCTACCAATCCAGTATATAATAGGAATTAAGGTAAATTTACAGCTATAACTTCTTTGTTTGGTCCTTAATTTTATACCGTATTTATCACTGGTGTTTTGTTGTTGTTTTTGCTATTCTTTTGCTTTGTAAACTATTCTTTCCTTGTAAAATTGTTTCAAAGCAACTATTGTACTATAGCATTCTATTCCAAGAAGTAAAATTAAGTAAAAAACTTAGTTCATATAAATATAGCCTTGGATATCAGTTTGTTTGTTTATAACACTTGTGCCAATTGCTAGCCATCCACATATCTCTGTGCTTCAGGTCTTACTCACCTGTAAAATAGGAAAACAATTTCTGCTTACCTATGTGGTTTTTGTGGAGCTTAATGAGCTTGACCAATATTAGATACTATTAGCGACTCTTATTAATGGCCTAAGACTATAATACACTTTTAAAAGATCATTTTATCATTCAGTGGAGCAGGAACAGATTTCCTTATGACAAAAATTATGTCAATGCATCCCTTTTGTTTAAAAGTCCTTTCTTTGTGGACTAATTAAAAGAGAGATGTAAATATGTCACTTTTTTCTCTTTCTTATGCTTTCTCTCCCCCACAAATGTCTACCTACTTTATCATGTATTAAAGAAAATGAAATCGAGAGTGGCAAAGTCAATATTTTCACCTCAGTAGTTAAATTTGTATCCACACTGACCTTAATGTAAATAAATAACCAAAATTTCTAGGGAAAGGTAACTCTAAAATAACTATTAAGGAAACTTTGCCTAAGAATGTGGCAAGGAAGGGACACCTGGGTGGATCAGTCAGTTAAGCACCTGACTTTGACTCAGGTCATGATCTTGTGGTTCATGGGTTCGAGACCCATGTCGACCTCTGTGTTCACAGCTCAGACCTTGGAGCCTACTTCGGATTCTGTATCTCCCCCTCTCTTTGCCTCTCCCCAACTCACACTCTGTCTTTCTCTCAAAAAAAATGTTGGCAAGGAAATATATCGAACTGTTGATGTTATCAGTGTAGGATTTCAAGCTTCTACAGATTTGTCTCCACCTCTTTAAAGATTTATCCCAAAGAAAGTTTTCAACTAAGTTGATCCTTTAAGACATGTAAAATGACTATATATATGATAAAGACAAAGTTTATCTGAGTGATTATTTTGTGTGTTCCAAGTTTGAAGTTAAATGTCTTTTTAAAATCATATAATTTATAACAATCATATGTAGAGAAGTAAAAGCCCATCAAAATCACTATCAATCTACATTTTTTTCTTTTTTTTAATGTTTTATTTATTTTTGAGAGAGAGAGAGAGAGATAGCATGAGCAGAGGAGTGGGAGAGGGAGTGAGACACAGAATCCAAAACAGGCTTCAGGCTCTGAGCTAGCTGTCAGCACAGAGCCTGACGTGGGGCTCAAACCCACAAACCGTGAGTTGAAGTCGGACACTTAACCAACTGAGCCACCCAGGTGCCCCGACATTATTTCATTATATTTCATTATGTGTTCTTGCTATGAAGAATAGATTATTCAAAAAATGATAAATTTAATTAAATAGGAAACACTTTATTTTCAAATTAATTTTTTAAAATTTGAATATAGTTGATATGTCATATTAGTGTCATGTATACAACATAGTGATTCAACTTCTCTATATGTTATGCTATGTTCACCACAAATGCAGCTACCATTTGTCACCACACAATATTATTACACATGTTACACATTTTAGATTCCACATATGAATGACATTCATATCATATTTGTCTTTCTCAGTATGACTTACTTTATTTAGCATAATACCTTCTAGATCCATCCATATTAGGTCCAGCCATATTGTTGTAAATGGCATGATCTCATCCCTTTTTATGACTGCATAATATTCCATTGTATTGTTTTTACCACGTCTTCCTTAAAATAGGAAACACTGTACTGTATTTTTACCTGAAAACAATTTCATTTTCTAAAAATATACATTAATCCCACCAGGGTTGTTCTAAATGGGATAAATTTTATAGCAATATTCACTAAGCTTGACTCATTTCAGTTTTTTTCTTAAAAAATTTTAAATCCATGAAGAGAAGTACAGAAGAGAATTTAAAGTACAAAAGATAAAATTTTATAACCTCAATAACAATTTTAGAATTAGAAAAATAAAGGACTCATAATTTGCTTTTTGAATTTTTATAATTTCTAAATGTAATTGTAAGGAAATAATACCACAGTTTTAAATTATTCCTAGATTCTTAGACTCTTTGAAATCACCTTTATTTCTAAAAAATATATAAATGATGTAGTTCGTATTCCATTCACACTACTTTCTAGATCTACTCATTTATGTTATGAAATTTTAAAGCGAATGCCTAGGCAAGTATTTCAAATAAATTTTGGTGTACTTCTAAAGGGAGAATATCTGGAAAATTACTTCAAATGTTACTAACCTTTACAACTGTCTGTATTTATATTTATGGAAGATTATTTAACATGAAATTATAATAATATCCCCTAGAAAAAAGTTTTATACTCATGCTTGGTTTCATACTTTTTGTTTTAATGACTTTTGTTCTTTTATTCTGAATCTAATCTCCAGTGGTTTTATATCTATAAATTCAGTAAACTTATATGGTTGCTTTTGGTCATTCCTAGCTATAATGATGGACCAATACTCAGTGTTAGTTGTTTAATTATTAGTTTATGAACTATGGCCAAGTTCCTCTCGGCCTCCTTTACTCAAGTCTGCTTTTTTCCCTTGAAATATGCTTATTTGCATAAAGAAAGATAATTGAGAATTGACCTCATGTGAATGCTCAGTCATGTGTTTACTTGTTTTTCTTTTTCTTTTGTGGCTTTTAATTTTTAAAGAAAATGATGGGATTGATTTAACATTGTGACATTTTTCTGTACGAGTTCCATCAAATGATGTGTGGGCATTACTGCATGGGGTTAGTTTTGGCCAAGCCCCATGGTTTTATTTGGCCTTTTCATGATAACAATGGCAATGTCACCATGCTTTATCTCTGCCATTGGTGACAATAACCATACCACCACGCTGCTTTATGAGGCAATAACTTGGTTTCCTCAATTATCCACTCAGGAACTGGATTATTACCTCATAAAACAGTGTGATTGTACAATTATCAATTAAATGCTAGCTTGCTGAGACGCTTCAAAAAAAAAAATCCCTTTCCTAATAGTGGTTGGCAATAATTTCTTTGTCTGAATTCGTAGAATATGACTGGGTTCATGGATTCTTGACTGCCAAAGTTATATTTCCCGCACTGTTTATCTATTATCTGACTTTTTTTTTTTTTTTTTTTTTTTTGCCTTGAAGGTGTTGTACACTGCTAAACCCCAAGAACTGTCTTACATTGTAAAAGAACTAAAACCTTATAAGATATACAACTTTACTATTTCTCTCTGCAATTCAATTGGTTGTGTTACCAGCGATTCAGGAGCAGCACGGACATTGGCAGCAGGTAAGCAAGTTTTGATGGACATGAAAAATACGAAAAATATATGGTATATTTATAAACGAACACCTATAAAGCTCAACACCTTCTCTAGTTTGGACTTAATACTTGTCTTTTCTGGTTTCTCTTGCTCCCTGATCACTAACCCTGATTGCTAGCTATATTGACATCTTTAAACAAACAAAAGTAAATAAATAAACTCAGGTTTGTAAGAGGTCCCGGGAGCCCTGAGGTGTAGCTGTGCTCTAATAGGAAACACAGTTAGATGCAGAGTGACTCCATGGCTCAGGACCCACCCTCGGTCCTACTGACGGCTTGACAGTTGTCAGAAGCATTTAGGAAGCTTGTTATGAGGGCTCAGGATACTTCTTCCCTCAGGCTTGATCATTTTTGTGGACTTTGGGTCTACCCAATTCCTTTGGGGTAAGGACAGACATCCAGGCTTAGAGACCTCTTTTCAGAGGTGATTTCTTACATTGATCCAAAATATCTCTGTGGCCTCTTCAACATTCTCCTTCTACTCCTTTAGAGGCTCTCTTCAGTCTAATTCATCTCTCTCGTGACATTACTTCCAAAAACATTTTCAGTTCTCTCTGCTCAAGTCTCTCTCCTACTCTGTACACCACAGCACCCCCCATCTGCACCTCACATGCCGTAGTTTCTACCACTAGTACGGGCACTCTCCTGTAGGCAAGATTCAGTCTGTCTTTTCATGGAAACAAGCAAACTGAAGGAACTGAAGGGAGGTGTGCCTATCTGCAGAGACTACATGGACCCTGGGAATGTCAAGGGAATGCAGGGCAAATGTCTATGAAACAGGTACTGTCTGGTCAATACACCAGCGATAACGTCTGTGCTAACACTATCCTCCTTGGCTGTAGCAACTGGTTTCCATGGCATGCAGGATGACCTAGCTGGGTGCTCTGAGCAGCTGTCATTTTAGTTACTGGTGAGAATACTAAGGCCTCTCCTGTCCACTGGAAATGTAGTTTAAGAAAACTGATGTAAGCCCTCTGGATCCTCTCTGACTCTTTACCCTTGAAAGATAGGACTTGGAGACTTCTCATGTTCTCTGAAAACCATGAGATGTGCAAGTTCATTGACTTTCAAAAATAAGAGCTTATTCATATATTGAAGGGAAGGATGATAAACCAAGCTGTCAGGGTTTAAATTTGGGGCTCCAACCATCTACTAGCTTTGTGACCTTAAGTAAACTATGTTACTCTGTGGCTTTATTTCTTAATTTATAAATAAGAGCAACCTATTTTATAGGGCTCATAAGGATTAAAAAAGTTAAATATTAAAACAGTGGCCAGTGGGGGCGCCTGGGTGGCTTAGTCGGTTAAGCGTCAGACTTTTGCTTAGGTCATGATCTCGCGGTTTGTGGGTTCGAGCCCCGCGTCGGGCTCTGTGCTGACTGCCGGCTCAGAGCCTGGAGCCTGTTTCGGTCTGTGACTCCCTCTCTCTCTGACCCTCCCCTGCTGATGCTGTCTCTCTCTCTCTCTCCTAGAAATGAATAAAACATAAAAAAAAATTTTTAAAAAGTAAAAAAATAAAGCAGTGGCCAGTGCAGAATAAATCCTCAATCAAAATTGTTATTTTTGTCATGACTATTCTTGCTATCAGTCACAACGTAAGTGTAATAAAATTTCTAATGTTATCAAAATCCAAAACCTTATTTTACAACTTTGCTTCCATAACACTATTATAACACAAATGAAACAATGCAGAGTTCTAAAACTAAGGATTACATTACAAAACTAAACTGTTGGAATGCTGAAGTCTAAAAACATTTTTCATTTCTGTAAGGGTTATGTCGTTCAGAATTAGGGTAAGCATTTCAAAATTTTGCTCAAAAAGTATAAATTTCAAATTTGTTGTTTGCCATATACAGTTAACAAAAGGCCATAATCATATCATTACTCTAGTTTATTGTGAATACTCAATTCAGTAAGCATCTATTAAGGGCCTACCTATTTAAGGCACTGTGAGGGATTCAGTTCATTGACAGACAGTTTAATGGTGTCTGCATTAAGGTGCTGACATAAAACAGGTAGGGTTAACACCTGGAGGTCTTGGAAAAGGGACAAAAGAGCACTATGGGAACATAGACTATGGGATAAGTAGCTTTGATTTGGGAGAATGGAAAGTTCTCAGATTAAATGAACTTGAAGATGTACTTTAAAGGATTGATAAGGATTTTGGTAGGTATTTACTGAACAAATACCATCCTAGTCACTATTTTAGAGACTGGCATTGTTCCAAATACTGATGGGATGAAAATTAGGGTATATGAAGATTTGTCTGGCAGTAGAGTGTAGAATAGACTAGAAGAGAATGTGTAAATAAGGTCTGGTAAACTTTTCTAAGAGGCAGACGGGGAGTAAATCAGATGAATAGAAGTGAAGATTGAAAGAAGGGAATGGAGATGGACCAAAGAAGAGAAATCCATAGGTTAAGAAGAAGGAAGAATTCAAGATGACAGTCAATGTTGTAGACCATGGTGATGCCGTTAAGTATAACAACAAAGATGAAAATGTGAACTCATGAATATATGTTTGATTATTGGGTAGAAACAAATCCATGACAAGTCTAAGCCCGCAACAGAAAATGCAAATCTGGAGCTTGACACTGATACAGATTTTGTGATTATTGCATAGAGATAAACACTAAAGCTGTGGGTGATAATAATTAGTGAAAGCAGAATAAATACAAATTAGAAGTCTGCATCTCAGTGAAAGCTCATATTTTGGGAGAAAGAGAAAGAGGGAGTAAAGGGAACAGACACATGGGCAGAGTTAGAGGGAGTGGTATTAGAAAAGTTAAGGGAAGAGAGTTCTAGAAGGTCTAGAATTCTGTAGCATCATATACTGTAGGGAAAGCAAGAGGGATGTAATCTACAAGGAAGGCAGCATGGGAGGCTCTCTAGGAAGTATTTTATTTAGCGTGCTTGAAGCAGAAGCTGGGATGTAAAGGATTGAGTGGGTGCAGAAGATATGATGGTAAATTTTAAATGTTCTAAATGTGCAAATTTAAATGTGGAAATTTTAAATGTTTTTTTTTCTGTTTTTTTTGCCACAGTGTTCCTTCTACCCAATTTCCACTAAAAGAAATACATCAACTTTCATTCCCATGTAAAGTTATTTTAGTGTTCTTCCAGGAAAATGTTTGTTTCTTAATCTCTTAATACATTTTGTCAGGACTCTGAATCCTCATCTGCAGAGTAGACAATAAAGTCACTTACATGACAAAATTATGGCAAACTAATTTTTACTTGCCATTTGATTTATTTGAAAGGACATGATTTTCAGGGGTGTTGACATCAGTAAGAATGAAGTTCGTTGTTTTTGTTGGGATGTAAGGAAATGCTCAACAATTATAGATGCAATATTTTTCTTGCCACTCTTACTTTCAGTAAATGAAAGTTTTTGTTCCTAAAATTTTCTTAAGATTAAACATCTGGCTATAACTCACAGATACTAACTCATAAAGATAAACAAGGAGACAGTCAATCCTTTTGAATGGTCAACAGGTTTGCCGTAGGGAAGAAATAAAAGTTGACTTGCAGCTTTAGGATTCTTCCTGTCCTGTTTCTTCCACAAATGAAACTGAAAGTTGGAGGGAATATATCAACTGCAACAAATTTGAATGGGGGTGAGGGGAATTAACTCTTAAGTGTAAATGTAGTTCATATGAATTTATTATGAGGGAATGAAAGAAGCCAGCGACCATTCAAAAACTTTGAGAAAGGGTACCAAAGTTAGTATTAGTATTCAGCTTTTTGAAATCACTGATTCATAAAAACATGTTTCCTCCTTAAATCTCAGTCACAGGAATCAAAAATAGACTTGTAAAGATTTATCTGACTTTTAGTAGAAAGCCTCAGAATTACTATTGGCTCTTGTTTTGTTTCAAGTATTTTTTCAGTGAGAGATAAGGTTAGAACAGGTGTATTTCATCAGGAATGTTGCCTTGCAACGCATTTAGTTTCTTGCTCACAGCAAACCTGCGAACTGATTTGTGAGAGGGATACTCCTAGGAGCAGCCCTGGGTCTTCTCTCTGTAGCGACGTCTCCAGCCGTGGTCATGTCATGGGTGGTTCTGGAGTCGCTCCTGGGTGTCTGCGGGCGATGAAACGATGGCCCAGGTTAGGTTAGAGTCCTTGTCATTTTTTCCTTAAGATCATCCTTTCAGTTTTGGAAATTTGTGTTTCCATGCTTTGCGAATTCAGTACAATTTAAACCTTTCTTAAGAGCAATTCCTCTTGAGCTCCATTCCTGGACGAGCAATGTGATATTTCCTTTGCCTGTAATAAATTGACCTCTACACTACAAGCTTAGAAGTACCCATCTCCCATTAAGCAAGTAATTAGTGGTGCATTAAGGTTTTTCTCTGAATCCAAAGTGAAATGTATAGGCTGTTTGACGCTCGGTTGAAAACACACATTGTTTTGCATGCAGGTACATGAGTCTTTTCATTGTGAATAGGACCCAGAGTGATTAAACAAGCACTCTTAATATGTTAATTTATAATTTTAATTACAACGATCTTGTATATATAGTCATTAGTGAATACTAATATAAATATTTTTCTATCTTTTTATTCATAATGCATAAACCAATCATCCAGTTACTTCTCTGAGGTTGCCTGTTTTTGTTTCATAATACAATCTTTGTTCTTAGTTATGAATGCATTTTGTTCGTTCCTGCCTTGAATAATCCCTCATTAAGCTAGTCACTTTCTGCTCCATGCTAAAAAGGAAAAATTATCATGCAAATGTGGCATGCCATATTAAAAAGCACATTACCAAACACTTTTGTTGCTGTCCTTCAATTAGTTTCCCTTCTTTGAATTTAATTCCATTTGTTGTTAAACTACTGACTTGATGTATGGACTCATGAATCTGAAGCTGCTGCCAGGAAAGTGGGGGAAAAAAATCAAAGCCTCTTCGAAGCGCTGCAGAGGGGAGCTGAAATGAATTTGCTTCACCTTTGACAAGAACACTT